CCTTTCAGCTGAAGTAGTAGAGGTTAACACAGTAGAGGAGTCTAAGTGGGTGTGGGATATGCGTAAGGCTGTCCTACCTATTAGATAAGGCCAGGGACTAACGTCAGTGGTTCGAAATGGGCCAGATGGGCCGAATGGTCCTTATCTGCCGTCACATTCTATGTTTATGTTTCTAAGTCTGTGCTCGACTTCCTGCAGATGGTGCTGGATGGACTCCTGCGGGAGGTAGCTTTGGGGTGGTTTGCAGGGTCAGTTGAGGCCCCGTCGCTCCCCAAGTTGCAGGTCCCCCTTGGGCCTGGTGCCCAAGTAGGTGGCAGGGGATTTTCGTCTGATTCATCGTTTGCCCTGCCCTCAAGGGGTTTCAGTGAAAGATGTCGGGCATCCTTCGATGCTGCTGTATGCATGGTCGGGGCGGTGGGCCCTGGGGCTTTGCTAACGAAGGCCAACGTTGCTTGTTGCCAGTTCATATGGATTGTCATCAACTCCTGGGTGGTGGGTTTGTGGTCGGTATTATGTGGATACGTGCTTCCCGATGTGTTGTTCATGTCCTGCCTTTACGTTGAGTGTGTCGCGCTTTCCTGGAGGTGGATGGTGCGGCAGGAGGCAAGGATTGTCTCGTTGCTGCGTTACCTTGATGGCTTTTGTGTGTGGGCCTTCGCTGACTTGTCGACTCTTGCTCGGCTCGAAGCTTTAGGGCTCTCTTAGAGCACGATAAGACAGTGGGGCCCAGTGATGTGCCTTAGCTCCTTGGGTATCAAAATTGACTCTGTGGCCATGGAGTGCTGGCTGCCGCAGGATAAGGTTGAGAGGGTGTGGTGATGGCCAGGGACTGTGCTAGCTGCAGTCCCTGTTAGGGAGGTTGGCCTTCCACTGCCGGATCAGGCCCATGGGGCAATTGTCCCGCAGGCGCCTGGTGGTCGCTACTACCGGGACCGCGGCATTTTATCTGGCTCTAGAGGTCTGGGTTTCCTTCCTGACTGAGTATATTGGAAGGTCATCTTGGCAGGCGCCGGAGGTGTCCAGTTCGGACTCGACCCTCTGTACGGACGCGGCTGGCTCTGTCTGGTCGGGGACGATTTTGGGATCGCACTAGTGTGCTGACATGGTCGGCGGCTTGAACGGGAATCTTGCCCTCCTGGAGCTTTCCCGTTGTGGTGGCATTGGATTTATGGGGTCGGGAGCTACAGGACAGTCGGTTGTTATTCACCGTGCCAACCTCGGGGTTGTCCAGGCGATTAGCCAGCTCTCTGCCCCCCCTTTTCCCTTTTGGTACTTCCCCTGCTCCAGCGCCTGGTGCTCCGGTGCCCGTGTCTTCATGTGTCGTGTAGGTCCGGTTCCTCTTGGGCCAAGGTACTACAGGGTATGGGTGGAATGACAGGCGCGGGAGTCAGAGGTGGGTGTATTTGTGGGTTCGCCTGCTCGTTACAAGGTCTGTTGTGCCTGCTGGAGCGTTGGGTTTTGGTGGATATGTCACTCTCCGGGGTGTCCTTGCGCGTGTCCAGTTTAGTTTTCTGGTTAAGTCCGAGGGTTGGGTGGCGGTCACCACGGAGTTTCTAGTATGGCATGCGGTGTAGGGCCCGTGCAGGGGTCGGTTTCTGTGGATCCAAAGAGGTCGGTTTTGGGGGCCCTACGGGCACAATTGTGTCAGGTGCTCCCAGAGGTATGCCTCGCCGTTTCTTCATTTCTTTGGGGCCATGAGGATTGGGGTATTGGTGGGTCCGAACTGGTCAGCCGGTAGTGGAGGTTTGCGGATGTCCGGGATGGTCAGGACCCGGTGTCCTTCAAGACTCGTCCATACAGGACCGACATCCTTTGCAAGGGCAGGTGGGTCCCACTGGCAGCGGTCCCAGGATTGGACGCCTTTCTGGTCTGGGCACTCAGGGAGTCCGCGGTACGGCCGTACCTGGCTAGCCCAATCATGGTATACGAGGAGGGAAACTTCCTCTCCCATTTTCAATTTGTTTGTCGGTCATTCTTTCCGCATTGGCGCTGCGACGGAGGCCTCTCGGCTGGGTATGCTGAATCGGGATGTGCGGAGGATAGGAAGGTGGGACTCTAGGAGATTTGTTCCGTTGTGCGGGACGCTGGTTTGCTCTGTTTATTTCTTTTGTCTTCTCGGGGCGGATGATTGAGCACTTGACGGTGGAGGTTCGGTGGTTCAGCGCCGGGGGGACATGGAGTGGGTTTGGCTCCTCCCGGAAGTGGTCAGGTTCTCTCGCTTGTGGTGGGTTGTCATTGGTTCTGGTCATTCCGCCTGGGGGGTTGCTGACCTGGGGACGGTGCCGCTCAGAGACTTGGTGGACATAGGGAAGCGGGACTTGTCCCAGATCCTTATGTCATTTCCGGGGTTTTTTTGCATGGTGTGGTCGGAGGTTGTGGCGAGGACCTGTTGGCGGCAAGCACACATCTGGAGTGTGTTGGAGCGCTGCCACGAAGGGTTCAACTGTTGGGTTTCGCGGTTCATTATGGGGGTTTGATGGATGCCCATTTCATCAGGTTTTGAGAAGGAGGTGGCAGATTTGTTGCGGCCGGATGGGGTTCAGTTGACTGAGGTCGGGCTCGACCGTTTTAATCTGGCCATTCGAGACGGTGGAACAGGCCATGGTTGGTTTGTTTGGGGTCCCCCGCTGGTTTTATGCTTAAAACAGTGGGGTTGTGGCGGGGGTGTGCCCTTGCCAAACAAGGGATAGTTTGGTAGATTAGATGAAAAAGGGGGATAATGGCCGGGTCTCATCCTCCCCCTGTCTCTTATGGTGAACCTGGAGGAGGTACCAGGTTGGACGTGTCCCCACTGGGTTGTAAGTCGACCAGTGGGGAGCATTATGGTTGGGCCCCACCGAGTTGGTGGGGAGCCCTGAAAAGGAAGATGTTTTTATTCTGCCGAGGGGGGGAGGTGAGAGCCTTGGAGAACTTAGATTGGCAAGGATGGTTTCTTTAGTTACTGTATGACTATATGCAAATTGTTTATGTTAATTTATGATATTTATTATTTTGTTATATGTTAAAGGAGCCATACAGTATTTGGTTGTGTTAATAAATGCTGTGGCCTGTTTTTTCTCCAAGAAGTTGTCTGTCGTTATTTGAAGGGGTAAGTTATGGTTTAATGGGGGATGAAGGGAATGCTATCTGTAACGGACCGTTTTGCACAAAAGGGGAAAAAAACGTTTAGGCGATCGGCCCCCTTTCCGGAGATGCAGGCACAGCTACTGCAGAACACCAAACACACGAACTGCCAATAAGTGAATGCTCCAAACTCCCGATCGGCATCCAATATAGCACTCCAAATACACGAACAGGAACCATACGAATTGTTGCTACCAGACGAATAGGAAAAGCATCTAAGCGGCTTACACTCCTAGCAATCAGTCTCTATCAGCATTCAGTAAATCCCCCCAAAGACGAGACAAGGCTCCGTGTTGAGGGTCAAGCAGTGGTCTGTTTAATGAGGGCTACCTGCCCAGTATTTATGCAGGTCTCCCACCTGGTGGACACTCCCCTAGGGGACCAAATGGGAGACTGTGACAAGGGACAGACAAGCAGACAAATAGGACACACAGTCACAGTATATTCCCACAATGCATCCTGGCTTCCTCCCCTCTGCCCTGGGAGATAATTGAGAAGTAATTTAATTATCTCCCAAGACAAAGGCAAATCTCCATTATGCACATGGGGATACTAAAACAAGCATTACTGTTAAAATACATCAGGTAAGACACATTACATTAAAACTATACATTTAACATATCCCCAGATAGCTCAGGTCTGAGCGCACATTATTAAGTGAATGGCGCTCAGACCACACGAATACAGTTTAATCGCCATGGAGCCAAAGTCTTTACAGTCAGTTTCATACAAATGGGCTCCATGGGATTCCTATCTGGGGTATAACACATTCAAACAAAATTACCGAACACCGGGCCGTTCGTGCACTTCCACCGAACAAGAAGGGAGGTCGGCGGCTTCAGCGGTGTTCGCGCAAAACTGTGTCCGATTTTAGTTCCATGAAAGTAGAACCGCTGTGCATTCGTATGTTTAAAATGGCCGCGACCTCGTGTTCGGGATATGAATGGCAGCCACCCAGCATTCGTCAATTAAGCTGCAGTTAACCGCAGCTTCAGGGAGGTTAATTGCCGGCACACTCCAGCTCCCAGGTGGTCTATTCATTTGTGCGGTTGTTCGGTAGAGTGAATCTACCGAACAACCGGCAGAAAAGCACGAATACAGCTTTTCTGCAGGCGAAACAAAGTCTTTTAACAGGGGGCCATAGTCCAGAGGCAGCAGGTGAGCAACCAGGCTTCTCCAATGCAATGTGGCGAGATTGGTCTCGTCACACTATCCAATGCCCACTACGTACATACAAGCACATTCTGTGGTCACCAGACAACAGGCCCGCACCCGGAGTGTGAGCAGGCATTCCAACATCTGAAAAATGCACTTATCAATGCCCCTGTCTTGGCAGCGCCCAATCCAACTAAACGTTTTCTTGTCCACACAGACGCTTCTATGTTTGGATTGGGGGCAGTACTGATCCAAGTCGGGGCCGATGGCGGAGAACATCCCGTGGCTTACATCAGTCGCAAGTTGTTACCCAGAGAAGTAAGCTATGCTGCCATCGAGAAGGAATGCCTGGCTATGGTGTGGGCCCTAAAGAAGTTACAACCGTATTTATATGGACAGCCATTTTCCTTGCTCACGGATCACAACCCATTAGTATGGCTGAACTGGGTAGCTGGGAACAATGCCAGGCTGCTGCGCTGGAGTTTGGCGCTGCAGCCCTTTGACTTTAACATTCAGCACCACCAGGGCAAACAAAATGGAAACGCTGACGGGTTGTCGAAACAAACAGACTTGGAGAAATGATCCATGAGCGCCCCGGACATCCCCAAGCCGATCCGTGTTGGATCAGACTGTGTATGCCGGCTTGTGGGCAAGGGGGAGCAGTGTAGCGGATTGCATTAAGGCTCTCCTCAAGAATTCGTAATAAAAATGTATTCGTGGGGGGGCGGGGCTAGCACGCAGACCGAGACAGACGCCATTTGCTGGAGCTCCTCTAAACAAACCTGAAATCTGCCAGATATCATCGGAACAAGAGCCCATCCAGCCTCAAAACTCACAAAATCGGAATCCGCTGAACGAGCTGAAAACGTAGATGCCCTTCTTTCAGCCGCAAAAACAGCCTAAGCGGCGACGTAAAATCGAGGCCTACCACCCTCTCCAGATCCCCAGCCTCGCGTCACTCTTCGGCGGAGACCTCGCGGAACGGCCAACCCTATCACATACATCGCCCAACACACTCACCATGGGCCGTAAATCACAGAGACCCGCCACAGGGTCGGATACGAGGGACATTGGGGCGATGCTCCAGAAGCCCAAACAAACCCAGGCCGGAGACCAACCGGAAATAGTACCAGAACCGGACCGCCACGAGATGGAGGTACCACAACACCCCCAGGCGGTAAGAACCGCACTAGCGGACCCTATGGATGATTCAGCCCAAACAACTAGGGGAGACCTGAAGGTCCTATTAGCTGATATCCACAAGCTCCTGGCTGCAGATTTAGCTGTATTTAAAACACAGCTACAGGCCGTAACAGAGAGAGTCAAAGCCACAGGGTATAATAGACACTCAATCTGCCATGCAAACCATGCAGGACTCTATCCACCAACTACAAGCGCACCAGACTACACTGAACGCAAAACTCATAATCATGGAGGATAGACAACGCCGCGCAAATATCAAAATAAGGGGTGTCCCTACAGCAATATCCGTGGAGGAACTGCACCACTACACCCGACGCCTCTTGACATCTATATTACCTCCCACGCTGGCCCGCAAAATCACAGTGAACAGTCTATATCGCATCCCTAATATAACCAACACCAATACCAACCTGAACAGGGATGTCATCCTGCGCTTCCACTCCGTACAGGACAAAATACATGTCATGACAGCTGTGAAGGGCAAAACCCCTCTCTCATTTGAAAATGCCACCTTGAACTTTTTCCAGGATCTTACTAAGGCAACGCTGCTGTGGAGGAAAACCTACGCACAAGTAACTTCCCAACTACGTACGGCAGGACTGCCATACAGATGGGGAACCGAAAACTCTTTAACGGTCACGACAGAAGGCACTACAAATGTCCTCCACAACATGGCCGACGCAACTTCTTTCCTGGGAAAATTAGGACTACCCATACCAGCTGACAACCGCGCGCTACCTGAGAGTGCCTGAGACCCGGCCACCATCACCCCCTTTGTCCCACGCACCAGAAGGACACCACCACCTGTGCAGTGATGGAGCAATCAGACACCTATGGCACCACAACCTAGCCCACTTTAAAAGGCTCTGGCATCGAGCCACCCTGAGAGGACACTGATACACGAGGGAAACCTCGTACTAGGACGCAATGCAGTTATTAGAACTACCTATTTCCTTTACATTTACTGTAATTTTTATCTATATATGTTTTCACAACTTATCGTTTCAAACAGTTTCACACCCTTCTCCTGACTACGAGCAAACCACCCCCCAGCCAACACACTAGACACAACACCAGAAAGTCAATGGGACTACATCCCACCTCCTCCCCCCCCCCCTGCCATCCCCTTGGTTAGGGGTACGACACATATCAGCTCCCGCTACCAACAACAAACTCCATTCCCGGATCCTGCTGACCCTTTAGTTAACAACCGGAAAGGACAAAACAGCCCACGCGCACAGACCACACTGAAAAACCACAACCCAAACTGGGAACCAACACCATTACATAAGCTGACACGTGTTACTTACTTAAACTCCATGAACCACACACACAACAATGTTTCTCTTTGTTACAAGACTCCTGCATATTTGTCTACATAATTTCTAACATGTTAACCTTGTACACCATTGTTCAATGTTGGAAAAAAAAATGTGCACAGTGCGAGACATGCCTAAGCTATATCTGACATGAATAATATACGAATGTCTTTTGCCCTTCTTATATCTCTCATGCACATCTAAAATAAAGAATTACAAAAAAAATAAAAAATTTATTCGTGTAATTGTTTCCCTGTATAGCTGTAAGTGTATGTAGCGTTCGTATGATTCTTCGGTAGTTTTCATACGAATGAAACTACTGAACCATCAGACCACCCCAGTGAGAAGTGTGCACCTCGTTAAGCCGCAGCTTAATTGATATATTGTATGTGGAAAAAAATCAAGATAGGATCAGCGCTAATAATACCACTAATAAAAATATATGTGATAGTGTAAAGGCAGCACACCTAAAAAGGGGAAATCCTATCCTATACCCTACAATAAATTAGAAAATAAAAAACAAAAAGAAAGGGCGCGCCTTAATGCCGTATGTATCGAAAAGAGTACACACTGTAATATTTAGATAAAAAAAGTTTAAAAATAAATAATACAGTATATAAAAATATATAAAATATATAGAATATATAAAATGGTATAAACAAAAGTGAACGAAGAAGATTCTTGTATATCGATAAAAGTTCTTCCCAATGGAGACTTGTATTCTCAATAGGCCATATGTGGAGAGAAATGTAGAGAAGATCCAGTAGTGCAATATGTCAGTATATAAAGCTTTTGATTATATTCTACTTGAAGAAGCCTATTGTGGCAAAACGCGTCTAGAATTTTAATTTATTTATTTTATACTATTGTAATAAAGGAATTTTCACCTCAAAAATAAATAATACTGTATTATTTATCTTTAAACTTTTTTTATCTAAATATTACAGTGTGTACTCTTTTCGATACATACGGCATTAACCCCTTAAGGACGGAGCCAAATGTACACGTTGTTAACAAAACAAAATGTAAACAAAACCTGGCATTTGCGCTACATGTCTGTCCAACCGTAATACACCTCTTTCATAGTAAATGCACCCACCCTTATTATATATCATTTTATTCAGGGGAAACAGGGCTTTCATTTAATATCAAATATTTAGCTATGAAACATAATTTAATATGAAAAAAATGGGCGAAAATACGATTTTTTTTTAATTTTTTTAGTTCTACATGACATTTTAACGGTCAGTGTCATAATACTGTTTGCTTTTACTGCAATATAATACACATATTTGTATTCAGTAAAGTCTCACGTGTAAGACAGTACCCCCTATGTACAGGTTTTATGGCGTTTTGGGAAGTTACAGGGTCAAATATAGCACGTTACATTTGAAATTGAAATTTGCCAGATTGGTTACGCTGCCTTTGAGACTGTATAGTAGCCCGGGAATGAAATTTACACCCATAATGGCATACCATTTGCAATAGTAGACAACCCAAGGTATTGCAAATGGGGTATGTCCAGTCTTTTTAGTAGCCATTTGGTCACAAACACTGGCCAAAGTTAGCGTTAGTATTTGTTTGTGTGTGAAAAATGCAAAAAACGCTAATTTTGGCCAGTGTTTGTGACTAAGTGGCTACTAAAAAAGACTGGACATACCCTGTTTGCAATACCTTGGGTTGTCTACTATTGCAAATGGTATGCCATCATAGGGGTCATTTTCATTCTTGGGCTACCATAGGGTCTCAAAGGCAATGTAACCAATCTGGCGAATTTTAATGTGAAAAAAATGAAACGTAAGCCTTATATTTGACGCTGTAAGTTTTGAAAACACCATAAAACCTGTACATGAGGGGTACTGTTGTACTCTGGAGACTTCGCTGAACACAAATATTTGTGTTTCAAAACAGTAAAAAGTATCACAGCAATAATATTGTCCGTGTAATGCTGTTTGTGCGTGAAAAATGCAAAAAACGTCACTTTTACTGGCGATATCATCGTTGTAATACATTTTACTGTTTTGAAACACTACTATTTGTGTTCAGCGAAGTCTCCCGAGTAGAACAGTACCCCCCATGTACAGGTTTTATGGTGTCTCGGAAAGTTATAGGGTTAAATATAGTGCTAGCAAATTAAATTCCCTTTACTTTCGGCATGGGTTGTCAGGCAGGTCCCGCTAATTGTAATTAATTAAGATACCTAATTATGTAAAAATAATACATAAATATATATGTAGAATTAATATATGTATATATATACGTATGTGTATATATATGTATATATCTATATAATTTTAAAAAAATATTTTTATTTATATATAGGTATATATATATAGTGATATATACGTATATATTTATGTATATAGATATATATATTATTTTGTTCTACGTGTATTTTTATATATATATATATATATATTAATTTCACAATACAGTTAGAACGAAATAACACACATCTATATATTTTTTAATTATTTATTTTTATTTTTTTAATTTTATTTTTTAACGTATTTACATTTTATTTATTTTTTATAATATATATAAATATATAACAATTATATATATATATTAATCAGTATCAGTCTACGTGTAATTTGATATTAATATATATATATATAATTATATATATATATTAATAGTAAAATACACCTAGACGGTGTACATGTGTGTATGTATATGTGTATATATATATACTTAGATCATATATATATAATATATATATATGTTCTAAGTATATATAATTTTTTTTTTTACACTGATTAACTTATTTTACTTTTATTTTCAGCCAGCAGGGGGACCACCTGTAATTACTGTAGGGGCTTCCTGGAGGACGGACGTGCTGCGGGGGGCTCCCTGGGAGTCCCCCCCACCGCGATCGCCGGCGTGGGACTGCCGGCGACCGGGTAAGTACCGAAAGACCGGAGGGCGTACTATTACGCCCGGCGGCGTTTAGAGCCGCCTATTAGAGGGCGTAATAGTACGCCCTCCGGTCTAAAGGGGATAAGGCGCGCCCTTTCCTTTTATTTGTATGTGCCTGTGTGGTCGCCGTTCAGCATACGAACCACGTGCGGCGGTCATCTTACGCAAGAAAATCTCAGCTGTGTTTGGTCGTCGAGTGTCAGGAACTCAAATCGGACACTCAAACAGTGCGAGACTTGCAGAGCTCCATAACTCGGGAATCCGATATGGGGTCTGTCGCATGGGAAGCTGTCTCGGGGTTTCTACTCGGTGAGTGGCCAGTGGAGTGTACCCAGGTAAGTTAGAAAAGGTGGCGCCCTTCGCCGCTATCAGTTCCTGTACTTGGGGACTTAGCCGCTCCCCCAGCTGAACCCTCTGGGAGGGCTCCTTCTGCTCCTCCTGCTCTAACAGATCTGGGAGAGGTAGGTTCTCCTGATCTTCTGAGGCGGGCGTGCAGATGGCCGCCACGTCCTCGGTTCTCTCGTGGTAGGGTTTGAGCATGTTCACATGGAGCATGCGTCGCTTCCCTACCCCGGAGCATGGGCCGATCACATAGGTGGTATCTGCTCTACCACCTGGTATGGGCCCTGCCAGACGGCCTGTAGTTTGTCTGTACGGACAGGTTTGAGAATCAGCACCTTCTGCCCCACTTGAAAACTACGGTCTCTGGCCCCCTCTGTCATACCAGCGGCGCTGACGTTGTTGGGCGGCCTGGAGGTTAGTGCGCACTGCCTGGGTCAATTCTTCCAGGCAATCCCGGAACGCCAGCACATATGGTACAATAGGGGTCCCATCTGCACTACTCTCTCCCTCCCAATGCTCTCTAATGAGGTCCAACGGTCCCCGTACCCTTCTCCCAAACAACAGCTCGAACGGGGAGAAGCCGGTAGATTCTTGGGGTGCCTCCCTATACGCAAACAACAGATGGGGAAGAAACCGTTCCCAGTCCTTTTGGGTCTCTCCGAATGTACCTCTCACATAATCCGTTGGATTGGGGATGGTAAGCAGAGTTAACAATTGGCTTAATGCCACAGATTCTCCATAACTGCTGGGTGATCTCTGCTGTAAATTGCGTCCCCCTATCGGAGATAATTTCCTGCGGGAACCCTACTCTCGAAAAGATTTTCATCAGGGCTTCTGCCACTGTCTCCGCATGAATGTTCGTTAGGGCAATCGCCTTGGGGTACCGGGTGGCGTAGTCCACCACAGTTAATATATACTGCTTCCCAGAGGGGCTGGGTTTGGGTAGCGGTCCCACTATGTCTACGGCCACACGGCTAAAAGGTT